TATTTGATACTGTCATTTTGATGCTACCTGGTTGTTTTGTTGGTTAGTTGATGCAGCTTCTTGATTGTGTTGATGCTCTTTTACCATTTGGTGTGTTTTTGGAGTGGCTGGTACTGGTTGTTCCTTTATATGTGTAGAGGCTCTTTCAGGAGTTCTTGTAGAGCAGGTTTGGTGGTGATGAAATCTCTGGGTGCTTGCTTGTTCACAAAGGATTTTATTTTTCCTTCACTTATGAAGCTTAGTTTGGCTGGATAGGAGATTCTGGGTTGAAAGTTCTTTTTTTAAGGATGTTGAATACTGGCCCCCAATCTCTTCTGGCTTATAGGGTTTCTGCTGAGAGATCTGCTGTGAGTCTAATGGGCTTCCCTTTGTGGGTAACCCGACCTTTCTCTCTGGCTGCCCTTAGCATTTTCTCTTTCATTTCAACCCTGGTGAATCTGATGATTATGTGCCTTGGGGTTGCTCTTCTTGAGGAATATCTTTGTGGTGTTCTCTGTATTTCCTGGATTTGAATATTGGTCTGCCTTGCTAGGTTGGGGAAGTTTTCCTGGATAATATCCTGAAGAGTATTTTCCAGCTTGGATTCATTCTCTTCATCACATTCAGGTACACCTATCAGACGTAGATTAGGTCTTTTCACATAGTCCCATATTTCTTGAAGATTTTGTTCATTCCTTTTTGTGCTTTTTTCTCTGTTCTTGCCTTCTCTTTTTATTTCATTTAGTTGATCTTTGACCTCTGATATCCTTTCTTCTGCTTGGTCAATTCGGCTGTTGAAGCTTGTGCATGCTTCACGAAGTTCTCGTGTTGCGTTTTTCAGCTCCATCAATTCACTTATATTCCTCTCTATGCTGTCCATTCTCATCAGCATTTCATCCAATCTTTTTTCAAGGTTCCTATTTTCTTTGCGTTGGGTTAGAACATGTTCTTTTAGCTCACTGTAGTTTCTTACTACCCACCTTCTGAAGTCTGATTCTGTCATTTCATCACCCTCCTTCTCCATCTGGTCTGGTTCCCTTGCTGGTGAGGAGTTGTGATCCCTTTTAGGAGGAGAGGTGTTCTGGTTTCGGGAGTTTTCATCCTTTTTGCGCTGGTTTCTTCCCATTTTTGTGGGTTTATCCACCTGTTGTCTGTCTCTGTCCCAGGGAGTTGGAGCTTTATGAGTTTCCATTGCACTACTGCCTTTTTTGATTTTTCTTTCAGGTCTGACCCGCCCAGCTAGCAGCACGCCTAGCCTCTGCCTGTCCGCAGGGGCTTTGCTGAGCTGCTGTGGGCTCCGCCCAGCTGCCCTGAGCTCTTCCTTGCAGTCCTGTTTATATGGGCGTAGTTAGAACTGTCTCGGGAACAGTGGCCCCGCCTCTGTTATGGTGGACTCTCTCTGTTGTGGCGGGTTGCCTCGGCAATGGCGGGTTGCCTCGGCGACGGCAGCCTGCCTCCTTAGTGGTGGAGAGTCTCAGTAATGGGGGAAGCCCCTCCCCCACCAAGCTGGACCGTCCCAGTTCAGCTGTGCTTGGTTTGAAGGGCTCAACCCAGAGGGTTTCCAATTACTGTTTTTGTTTTCGTTGTTGTTGGGGGTGGAGGGGTGGGACCAACCGAGCCTGATCACCTGGCTCCCTGACTTAGAGTCTTTTCTTTTAAGTTGAAGGACCCCGCATTCCAGTCGCTTGTTGAAAAGGCGCCGCGATCTCCCGTGCTGCGACTCACGGAGTCGGCTCGAACTGCGGCGCCGGCTCCTGGTGGATTTTTTGCCTAGGAATCTCCTGCCTTGGCTTGCTATTTCAGATGAATGGGCAACTCTGCCGTCTCAGGGCTCTGATCGCCAGCTAAGAGGGCTCCCAGACCAGTGGCTTTTGTACGGAGAACCGCAGCAACAGGGAGTGGTCACAGCAGCCACGCGGGCGGAATCAGCCCCGCGGGGGCCAAAACGGCCGCACCGGCTGGGACTGCGAAGCTGGCGACCCCTCTGCCTGGGTATCTCCTGGTCTGTGGGCAATAAGAGTTCATCTGGAAATGCGGCGTCCACTCACCCTCTGCACTTTCACTGGGAGCTGAAGTCCTGAGCTGTTCTTAGGTGGCCATCTCTCATAGGATTACTTATGCATGATCTGTCATTGACTGAAATGTTGTTATGTAGCACATGACTGTACATGGGTTTTGTTTTCTTCTACAGTGTCAGAGTTAAGTCTGTTACGTTTCCTCACAAAATTGCCTTGTGGTATATTTATTTTTTACATTAATATGCATTCCATCTGAAAATTACTACTGTATATGGGAGAAGATGAGGGTCAAGTTTTAAATTTTCTTCCAGTTGGAGAGCCAGTTGTTCCAGCATCATTAATTTAAAAACAAACAAGCAAACAAACAAAATCTCATATGCTTTTCTTACTTCATGAAACCAACCATCATATTATCTCATACACTGAAATCCATTTTCTCTATTGTGTCGTACTAAATACTCTTCATAGTATTTTCTGATAGCTGCTTCCTATAGAAAATATTCTTATTTCTTTGTATGATTTATATGATTATCACAAGGTAATTATTATTTCAAATGAACTTTAAGATTATTTTATACAAGTCCAAAAAACCAAAACCAAAGCCAAAAACAACTCAAAACTCCATTGGCATTCTAATTGGAAATGCATTAAATGTACATATTAATTTTGGGAGGCTTCTAAAAATTGACAATAATAATTGTATATGTTTATGGGGTTTTGCAATGTGCCTTTTTGATCAATATGTGATGTTTTGATAAAAACATACATTGCAGATTGATTAATGCAAGCTAACTAAGATATGCATCCCTTCACATACCATTTATTTGTGGTGAGAATATTTAAAATCTACTTTCTTAGTAATTTAGAAGTATATATTACTATTAACTGTAGACACCATGCTGTAGAATAGGTCACTAAAACTCATTCCTTCTATCTAACTGAAATTTTGCGTTCTTGGACCAACATCTTGGGAGATTAAAAATATATACAGAAAGACTTCCCACCCAAGAATATGCTTGACTCCTCACTGGTTTCTCACACTTTTTATTAGGATTTAATAGCTGCTTTATATAGGTTGTGTGTTCTGGTTTTTAAAGTTTAGTCCTACAGTTTATAGTTTCGGTCATGTGAAAATTTTTTATCTCTAGGTGCTTGGTGCCAGAGAAGATAAAAGCTGCTTATTTTTTATATGTTTATCTTCTATCTAGCTATCTTACAAAGTTTTATTAATACAGTGGTTTTTTTTCCCTTGAATCTGTTGGGTTTTCTAAATACACAATCATAGTATTAGCAAATACATAGTTTTATCTGTTAGTTTCCAGTATTTATAGCAAGTATACCTCTTACATTGTTCATTGGCTAAAACTTTTAAAGCAATTATTTTTAAAAAGGAGATGATGATAACAGGCACTTCTTTCTAATTTCTGATTATGCTGAAATTTGTTAACGTTTTTCACTTAGGATATCAAAAGTTGTTGTTTTGATATAAACAATCTTTATTATCGTTAAATTGTTTTCTTCTAAATTTTTTCCCTTCAACTCATTTTCTAAAACTGGATGCTGAATTCTATCATGTACTTTTTGTGACTACTAATTTGACTTCCTATTTTTTTTTCTTTAATGTGTGCATAGGATTGTATGGGCATATTTCCTATGTTGTGCCACTGTTGCTTCTGTGTGCATGTATTTCCTTGATAATCTCATAAATTCCTATAGAAATGTTTGCCAAAATGTGTCAAATGTTAATAGCAATAACTTAATAAAAGAGTTCCATGCCGGGCGCGGTGGCTCAAGCCTGTAATCCCAGCACTTTGGGAGGCCGAGGTGGGTGGATCACGAGGTCGAGAGATCGAGGCCATCCTGGTCAACATGGTGAAACCCCGTCTCTACTAAAAATACAAAATATTAGCTGGACATGGTGGCGCGTGCCTGTAATCCCAGCTGCTCAGGAGGCTGAGGCAGGAGAATTGCCTGAACCCAGGAGGCGGAGGTTGCGGTGAGCCAAGATCGCGCCATTGCACTCCAGCCTGGGTAACAAGAGTGAAACTCCGTCTCAAAAAAAAAAAAAAAAAAAAAAAAAAAGAGTTCCATGATCAAATTAATTTAAGAAGCACCAGACCAAAGTTAAATGGCCCTTCCCCAATACTTTAAAGCTAATGACATTGTTAATCTTCAAGAGGAGATTAAAGGCTGGGCATGGTATCTCATGCTTGTAACCCTAGCACTTTGGGAGGCCAAGTCAGGTGCATCACTTGAGGTCAGGAGTGCCAGACCAGCCTGGACAAGATGGCGAAACTCCGCCTCTACCACAAATACATAAAATTACTGGGTGTGGTGGTGTGCACCTGTGGTCCCACCTACTCCAGAGGCCCAGAATCGGTTGAACCTGGGAGGTGGAGGTTGCAGTGAGCTGAGATCACACCACTTTTTCAGCCTAGGTGACAGAGCAAGACTCTATCTCAAAAAAAAAAAAAAAAAAAATTAAAGTACCTAGTGTTTAGTGAAGATTATTGGACCATCCATTTCTCATGGGCCATCTCATGGGCCATCCCATGGGACTGGATCAGAGCAGAACTAACTTTGGGAATGCATACATGGTTTGTATATGCGTGTACATGTATACAAAGATACCTTTGTACTGTAAAAGATACGTAAATCTTTTACAATACAAAGATGTGCAAACATTTTCAGCACATGAGACCAATTAAATCATGGAGATAAAAGTCACAACTATAGGACACCAAAACCATTGTTTGAGGAAGAATAATTTAGTCAAGCAACACTTTGTACCAATTGTACTTACTTTTATTTATATGAGAGTTTCCCTTGGGTGGGCCCAAGTTATTAATGTTTGGCATTACACAGACCAGTCTTAGAGCACAGGATGATTCAGGGGCTGGATGTCAGTCCAGCTTCCTCCACTGTTGATGTATGACACTAAAAAGTCACACAACTGTGCCTGTACCCATGACGTCAAGACTGGGGCTTGCACATGGCACTCACCAATGACGTATTCCACCCTGAAGAGATCCCGTCTGGGGTCGTATGGACGATTGAAGTCGATCTGCATGTAGAAAGGCTGCCCTCTGCGGACGATCAGCTTGTTGTTGTCATACTTGTCAGTGTGGTGATCCACCTTGTTGCTGTCCCATCTCTCCTTGAACAGGTGGACGTTCCTGACATTAAGAAAGTCTGTGAACAAGAAAAACAATTGAAGAAAATCATAAACTAACTTTAGTTTAAACACAAACTCAACATCAAGACTATTTTTCCTGAAGAAGGCAGGTAGCAAGGTCGGCTGAATGAAACTCTGCACGAGGTGGGGGTGGGGGAACACAGTCTCAAGAGTCAACCTCTTGTGACATTCTTGTTTTTGAAGAGAGCTTTTAAAAGCTTTTTCCACCTTTGATCTTGTTTCAGTCCACACGGCACTCACTGTGGGATAGACGGACGCCTGTCTGCGAGATCCAGATACAGAGAAGCTAGGGCCAGAGTTGAAGTCTCCGGGTTCTCAGTGTCATGCTGGTTTTCGTTATGTTAGGAGCTTCCCATCATGTCCCTGCCTCACTCTGTGACTAACCAGACAGAAGCAGGGAATAGCCACTTCAATTTCTTATCTTTCAAAAGTGGGGAATAAAATCTGACAAAGCCTCAGGGGGACGTTCGAAGGACAAAGTTAGCCATTAATCCAAAATTCTCCCCTTACCTCAAGAAGGGTCAAACGCCCCCGCCCTCTGTAATTCTAAAAGTAGATCTCATCTCTCAAAGGCAGGAAAGAGAGTGAGCAGGTCTGAAGAAACGACACTGACATTTCTGTGAGATAAGTGCGATTGTTTTCAGTTACACAGAAACTATCCTCAGCTTTCCTTAGCTTCTGATGAGCCAATTCAAAAGTCAGAACCTGGACTGTCTGATGCCAACATTTACAGGTTTTCCTTTTGATTTCAATGTACAGGTTTTTCAAGAGTGTAAATGTCAATTACATGTTTATTAGTTGTCTAACTTTGTATATGTTACTTAAATTGATTTCTTCATCATAGAATGGGGGCGAAACATTCATTTCATAGCCTAACATGTTCAGCCTCTTACAGGAAGGTGACAGGAGATGGCATGAGATGACATATATGCAGGCATTTAGCAAAGGGTCTGACACATGAAAGTCAGCTCTCCTCCTGCCCTTTTCCCCTCCCCCTCTATGAATGATCACTGAACGGGAGGGTCATCCTAACTCCCTGTCCTCACTGTACTTCAGAAGATCTAGTCTAGAAACTGGTTTCTGCATGTGTACTTGGTGTTTTAAAGGGCTATTGGGGAAAACGTTGGGTGGGAGGGTAGGAGGGTGGGCAGGGGTGCCCTGGCCTCTTGCCTTCCCCCTCCCTGCCCCTGCCTGATGCATGATTTGCTACAGGCACCGTGTGTGCAGAAAGCACAGCTGCTGAGCTTGTACCCATGCTGGGGCATCTTCCTGACATGCTTGAATGGCTTCCTTTACCTTCACACAGAAATCCTGTGCAGGATGCCTGGTGCCTTTGGACCCCATTGTGTTCCATAATCAAAACCAAGGAGTTGGACTCTTTAACATCCTCCTTGGTCCTAAAGTCCAGGAGTCCCTGAAACATTGCTGAACAATTCATAGTTCAGGCAATCCTGAGTTTGAATCTCAGGTCTCAAAACTACTTCATTAAGGTACTTTACCTTTCAGAATCTGATTTTTCTTATCCAAAATGAGGATACTATACCCTGATAACGTCTATGAAGGCTCAATGAGATAAATGCAGTGGGTCTGGCACTGTGGCTGGCTCACAGTGGGTCATAGGCTTACTGTGGCTCACTGCCCCTAGGCTGTGACAGACACTTCACGTGGCATGGTGCTCTGCAGTTTACTCTGACTACAGCATTACAGCAAGCAGAAAGTGCAGGATGCAGTTTTATTTTTACTTCATCACAGAACCCTGTTGCAGTACATGTCCCCCTGAAGGGCACTTTCTTTCCATTATGCTGTGAGCTAAAGATGAGTAATTCTCTAGACCTCTCTATTCCAAGCTGTCTTTCTCCTGAGCTCTCTGGTCTTTTTTTTTTTTTTTTTTTTTTTTTTTTTTTTTGAGACGGAGTTTCGCTCTTGTTAACCCAGGCTGGAGTGCAATGGCACGATCTCGGCTCACCGCAACCTCCGCCTCCTGGGTTCAGGCAATTCTCCTGCCTCAGCCTCCTGAGTAGCTGGGATTACAGGCACACGCCACCATGCCCAGCTAATTTTTTGTATTTTTAGTAGAGACGGGGTTTCACCATGTTGACCAGGATGGTCTCGATCTCTTGACCTCGTGATCCACCCGCCTCGGCCTCCCAAAGTGCTGGGATTACAGGCTTGAGCCACCGCGCCCGGTGAGCTCTCTGGTCTTATAAGGCCGCAATCCCCAGTGATAAACCAGCCCAAGAGTGAGCTGGAGAAGCACAAATGTCCCCATTGAAAAGGACCTTAGCAATAAACTCCTCTGGTCCTCTTTCTTAGCACAGGGCCTTTTAGTAATTTTTTTAAGAATAGCTAAAAACCTAGATCCTTAGAAATGGGTTTTATCAGTTCTCCATTTACCAGCACCAATGGAAGGAATATAATGATATTACAACCTTACAGAATCTCACATAACAGCAATAGCATTTTCTCAGCTATCTGGTAGAACTACAAAACATTTTCATGAGAGCCCTACTACTTGGTCTTCTAACCTCCATTCAAACAGGGATCTCATTATTTCAGAGGGCAAAGAGTCCATTTTTAAACAACTCTATGTATTTGAAAATTTATCTTAAGATAAATTGAAACCTGATTCCTCGTAATTTTTCTAACCAGGGGTCTCGTTCTGACTTCTGGATAAATATAGAATAAGTCCTCTTATTCATTTTATCTGTCACTCTCTAGGTATTTAAAGACTGTTCTTAGGGCTTTTTTTTTTCCCCCTCAGTAAAACATTCTCCATTTATTTAACTTTTTGTTGTTGTTTTTTAGACAGAGTCTCGCTCCATTGCCCAGTCTGGAGTGGAATTGTGAGATCCTGGCTCACTACAACCTCCGCCTCCTGGGTTCAAGTGATTCTTCCTGCCTCAGCCTCCTGAGTAGCTAGGATTGCATGCATTTGCCATCATGCCCAGCTAATTTTTGTATTATTTTTATTTCATTTTATTTTTTAGTAGAAATGGGGTTTCACCATGTTGGCCAGGCTGGCCTTTAACTCCTGACCTCAGGAGATCTGCCAGCCTCAGCTTCCCAAAGCACTTGGATTACAGGCGTGAGCCATCGCATCTGGCCTATTTAACTGTTTTTAAGAAGTTATTTCCAGAACTTTTATCCATCACTCTGTTTTGGAATATATTCCATTTTGTCAATTTCTCTTTTGAAGTGTTATTTTGGAATTAAGTGCATTACTCTAGTTGTGGTTTTTCCAGAAAAACAAACAAACAAACAAGCAAACAAAAACAAAAAAAAAGACATTACATCTTTTAAAATAAATAACATATTTCTAATATTTCAGCTCAAGCTATTGTTAGTGTCTTAGATACTCTTAACTTACTGTTGATTCATATTATGCATCTGATGAAGCAAAACCCTTAAAACATATACATATATATATATATATTTTGAGCTGGAGTCTCGCTCTATTACTGAGGCTGGAGTACAGTGGTGCAATCTCGACTTACTGCAACCCTGCCATACTCGAATGGCTTCCTTTACCTTCACACAGAAATCCTGTGCAGGATGCCTGGTCCCTTTGAACATCGTTGTTCAAATAGTTCTCATGTCTCAGCCTCCTGAGTTGCTGGGACTATAGGCTCATGCCGCCAAAGCAGGCTAATTTTTTTTTCTTTAGTAGATACAGTATTTCACCATTGGTCAGGCTGGTCTCTAACTTTTGACCTCGGGTAATCCACCTGTCTTGGCCTCCCTTAAAACACACTCTAATGTTATTTCTAGCAACAGTGTATCAAAATTCAGTTGAGGCCCCTACAAGTCACCCACTCATGTTGCTATTTGGCTGTATCTATTTCACCCACTCATGTTGCTATTTGGCTGTATCTATTTGTATGATTATTTTCTTCTGTTTAGTTCGATATTAAGACTTTGCATGCATTAAATTTCTTCTTATTAAGTTTGGTTCACTGCTCCATGCTCAGATAATTTTAATCCCTTAGTATGCATTTAATATATTTAATATTCTCCCTCGCTTCTTGCCCTCTGGGAATGTTGTAAGTGTGCGATTTTATGTTGCCACTCAAGACATGGGCACAAATGTTGATTAGGCAACTGTCTGATAACTACGAGTCAAGTAAACACACAGCAGCAGTTGCTAAAAGGTGAACAGATAATTATGACACAATGTCAGCCATCTCTGACAAAGGAAGTAAAGGGAACGGAGGGGAGTTTCAGGGGTGGAAAATAAGAAGGTTCTCTGAAGGAAGTGAGACATAAGCAGTGGTCAAGAGAGGAGTCAGTTGTCCACGTGGAAAAGAAGGTGGAGAGAAATGCTTCAGGCAAGTGAGAAGGATACGTGAAGACTGAGGCAAGAGAGTGCACAGCTGCTTAAGAAACTGAAAGATGATGGCTGAAATGTACTACTGGGAGCCATGGTAGAACAGTAAGGAGGAGCCTGCTCATCATGTGAGGCTTGGAGACCATGTGAAGGAGTTTGGGTTTTAATTGCATGGTGGATCCAATGAAGAATCTGAAACAGCAAACTGGCATAATTAGATGTTTATATATACATATATACATATATATATATATATATATATATATATATATATATATATATATGGACTGCTTCAGGTGGCAGAGTGGAAAAGGGGTGGGATGGGGTGATGCTGGAAGCTGAAGTCAGTTAGGAAGCTGTTGCAGTGTTCTGGGTGAGGGTCCACGTGAGTTTAATCTGTATGCAGGAGATGAAGGCACTGCTTCTCTGGCACTCCTAGATTTGCCTTCTCTATTTGTACCCTCCCTCCCTGCATGATAAAGTGCCCCTGAAATGAGTTCTGACTTGGCTTCCCAAGTAGCTCTACCTATAAGGCAAAATAAAGCTGGAGAGGGAGAAATAGTCAAGTATTTCTTTGATATCATTGGCATTTCTCATCCATCCTAGTTGTCATTGCAAATGAAAACCTGGTTTTTCACCTTTACATCCCAGCCTAGTGTACCTGGTTAAACA